GAAACACTTTCGAGGCCGGGCTCCTCTTAGCCATGGTCTGTATAGCCCCTTCCTCCCCACCCCTCAGAAATTTACCTTAAGACCTGAATGCGCTACCGTAAGCTGAAGTAAGCTCAGCTTTCGTTTGCTTATCTGATGTAATGATTATGAGTGTGTCTATAAGTGGAAAAAGCTTGTAAAGACTGTGCCAAGAAAAAAGAACAAAGTTACAGTACGTGTTGCATGAATACCTTCTTAAAACTCGCTTCCTGCATTTGAGTTCGTCCAGCTGTAAAACAGTTCTCGTTCTTTTAAGTTCTTTCTTCACTGTCTTGATTTCAGCATTGATCTAATAAGAGTAAAAAGAAATTCAATAACAAGCCATAAAAATCCTCCACCATAATCAATATACAGTATTTGAAAATTTGCCTCAACCAATCAGAAGCACTTCTCAGATCTGGGTAGTCATCAGTAAGGAATTTCCGCACTTGTCCCTCAAACGTCATTTTGCGAGGAAACCATTAGTGGCGTCGCGAAAAGTCACCTGTTTTCTCAGGCCACGTAACCCCATGTCAATACTGTTTGCCAACCCGTAACACAGTACCAACACTGTTTACCAATACGTGGCACCGTACCACAATCGTTGACCAACATGTTTAAACTACATTAGACTAACTGGCACCCTAATAATATTAGTAAGTGAACAAGTAGTACTCCAGTAACATTAATGGCAAACATGAAATGCCCTATAAGCAGCATTGGTAAAAAAGAGGCACCATTAGAAGTGTAAAGAATATAATACAATAACGAACACAAACGAAAGACTTACTGTCGCTTTCTGCTCGCATAAGCTGTATAATGACTCCAATGAGGAATCTTTGTGTAGCGGATGGGTGTACATACGATGCTCTAAGGTCTCTATTTTCTGTAGGCAAAACAACACAGAACAACATATGATAAGAAAAAGCTGACAAAAGTTAAAAAATTATGCGCTTGTCGCCTTTTTCTCGTGTCAACGCTGTCGTGAGTCCTTGAGGACCATGAACGAAATATCAAAGGTCCTGTTTTGGGTGTTCTCCGTCCCTCCCACTATTCACCAAGTTACACCAACGAGAATTGTTTCATATTTTACCCTGCCTCCTCACCTTCAGGGTAAAATTGAAGAACAGCTCCCCCAAAATTTGTCGTCCGTCTGACAGTAGACAGTCGACCAAGAGTTCACCGACAGACGGCCGACAGAATAGAGATTACTTTCGTAAGTATGAACTCTCAAGGTCATCACAAATTGGTGAAAATTTTGTCAATGACCAACAGCTCTCCGACAGTTTAATGACAATCGATCGCTGTTGTTGCACAACATTGCAAACCCCCTCCACCCTCCACAAACACAACCACAACTTATCTATACTCCCGTAATCAATGACGACTGTGGCAGTCAGCCGGGTAAAAATGCTGTAGACCAAATACAGACCCGTATAACAGTTTTCAATCCATCATCTTTGATTCCCATGTCTTCTATTGGATCGAGCAAAGGCAAGCCATCTGGAAAGCGACGCTTTACTTCCTGCAGCATTTAATAAATGAATAAATAAAAAAATAAAAAAATAAATAATCGCTCCACTTAAGGTAATCAAATTCTTGATTCCATGCTGTGAATTCGGAATTCCAGGTAACGGATTGCGGATGCCTTGTCAGCGGAATTTGGATTCTGGATTCTACAAGAAATAATTTCCTGCATTCCGGATTACACACGCAAAAATATCCCGGATTCCCTAATGGGGATGAGTAACATGGCGCGAATGTATGATAGCGCAAAAATACCGTTACAACTTGATTCCTGAAAATTTCAGTCTGATCATATATATAAGTGCTGACCTTGATAGACTTGCCGACACTCTGCCGACTGTCAAGTGATCTCAGATCCTTAGGGATGTATAACCTCACACTGCTGATGGCTTTAACAAGATGTAACAAGATGGGGACCACCTAAATATATATATATATATAAAATAAAAAAAAATAAAAAAACAATGTTTGATATACGTATGGCATTAGTAACTGCACCAAAGGATAATACTTCTCAGCAGTTTTCATTTGAATGGTGACACCCCAGGGTAGTTTTAACCTCCGCACTTACCAAAAGTACAGAACCAACTTGTACAGCATAATAAACAGTAGCACAAGAAAGCAATGCTCAGCAGCTATCATCGGAATGGTCACACTTTAGGATTACATTCACAGCATTACAGTTAGAAAAACCTTGTGCAGTGCAATAAACAGTGCAACAGGAAAGCACTGCTCAGTAACTTTCATTTGAATGATCTCACTATAAGATTTCATCCCCAGACTCAAAAGTTAGAACAACCTTGTACAGTGCAATAAACAGTACAACTGGAAAATACTACTCATGTGAATGGTCAGTTTGACTACTTGACATTTCAAAGACACCTTTTTGATCCAATAATTTAAGGACAAAAATCTAAAACCGTGAGAGCTACCTTTTGAGGCAAGTTGGTTTAACCTTTTCACTGCCAGAGTGAATGATACAGTCTTGTAGGGTGATTCTATCTTTTGAGTCTGCGGACTTAACCCTACGTTGGCTAAATAATTAACTGTATCTTTAAAGTTTCAACTGATTTTTATCTCGAACCTCTAATGCTATACTTTCCTTAACTCTGTCTTTAAGTATTAATATTAACTCAAAATTTATTTATGTAATAATACTTATATAAAACAGTTAAACCCTAACCCTCAGTTCATCTTCTTTCCCGCCTAGATTAGCCTTTGCTACCTGCAGGTCAGTATAATTAATTAAGTTAATTTTTAGAATAAAGTTATGTTGTTGTTGTTGGTGGTGTTGACCATTCAGATGAAACCTCTTTGGTAGTACTATTAGTTTTGCAGCATTCTAAAAAATCCAGTTTTTGGTCAATGAACAGAGAATGAGTTTACGGGTGAATGATGAGTGACAGTATCTGACCTGCATTTCTCCCTTTTCATCAGGTTTGCAGGGCTGCGGTGTCTCTCCATCAGCTGACTTCACAGATTTACTCGAACAATTCAGTAATGCCTCCACAACGAACAGAGTCTCTCCTTGGGTTGGACCACTCTGTTAAAATGCAATGGTACAAGCATAATAAAACTCTAACCTGGAGAAGGCTTAAGGCTTAACCCTTTAAGCCCCAATATCCTCATAAAAATTCTCCAAACTGCTCTCTATACATTTCCTTTAAGAATTAGTTAAGAGAATTTGATAAAAGATCAAAATATTTTCTCTTAGGTGATCATTTTATTAATTCTCATAACCTAATCTCATGATAATGTATGGATATCATTAGGAGAAAATTGCTGTTGGTCACTATTGGGACTTGAAGGGTTAAATACAAGGAGGCAGCGTGGCCGAGTGGTCAGCGTGTCGGACTTGCAATCCAGCAGCCCCGAGTTCGAGTCCCACTCTGGTGACTTGCTGGATTTGTTCTTGGTCATCCTGAGTTCAAATCCTCGGCCACACTTGTAGCCAACTGGTTGCCTCCTGCCAGTTGGGGTTTTTGATCCTGTTATGCTGTATTTGAATTATTTGTTTCTAAGTATTTGAGTAGAGCGCCTGTAAAGTAGCTGGATAAGTTAAGTGTACGTTCCACTATAAACAAGTCCTCACACATTAAACACTTTTTTTAATCATCAGCACCCCAAATCAGCTATACATTTTATCAGGTTTACAATTAATACTGAAATAAACTGAAAATGAGAAGAAAGTAACATCATGATTTTAACTTCAACCCTAGTAACAGTTTGAAGTAACAGTCACTTGAAGGACTGCCACTACGGCCAAAGGCAGAGAATTTCCCAGGGGGGGGGGGGGGGGGGGGGAATTTCACTAAAAACAAAGGGAAAACAGAACCAAAAGGTGCTCCTAGCTGTTCAATTCCCTGACCACTAATTGCATAATACAGTTGAACCTCCACGTGCTTAATTGCATAGTTTTTTGTTTACCTTTTGATTTGCCTTCTTTTGAAAATTGAGTACCACACCCCAGCCAAAGTCGTCACTGTTACTTTTAACCTGTGAAAAGGTGATGTAATATGAAATTTTCATTATTTATCACCTTCGAAGAGAAGGATCTAGTGAAAAAGAGTAATAACTGTATGCATTGAAAATTAACAAAATGCAAAGAATTAATAAATATTTGCAATTGCATTTCAGTGCAATGGCAGATTTATACAACACATTAAGAGTTAAAGGAGCTGTGTCACAGATGGGCAAAACTGAAGCAGATTGAAATGGATTGAAATTAGAGTTTTTGAAAACTGTTCATGTTCAGCCTAACAGTTTTTTAAAGTTGATCTCTGCTGTTTGCATCTTCAAAAAGTAATACTCAGGAGACATAATTATTTGTTTGTCTCGAATTTCTGATTTTGTCATTTACATGTAATTTCTTTGCTTACTTTAGGTTCCATAGCGATTGAGGGTGAGTAATTGCGAAAATTAAACAAAATGAACTGGACTGCATGCCGTGACACAGCCCCTTGAAAGAAGCTTCGAAACGTTTAAGTACCCAAACAAGGCAGTTACCCTATAATACCAAATGTTTTAAGACAAGTTTTATTAATACAAATTAATGTGGATAGTACTTTAAGTTTTTAAACTTTTTAATTTTTAAGTTTCATTTTAGTTGCTGCAAGTACTGGAAGTTTTACTTGTATAATAATAAAGATTTAGAGATTTTTAAAAGTTTTTTAATGAACAGATTTATAAATGTAGAATACTATCCCACAACTCATGACCTATTCTGCACTTATTTTTACCTGAATCAATCTTCCAGGCTGCATAAATGGCAGACAAAACTTGGGTTGGTGAATAAAACTCTGAAAAAAAAGAAAAAAGAAAAAAATCAAACAGATTTCCCTTTCAGCAAGGCCCTTACAAATTTCTGACAACATAATTAGATACTCACCAACATGTCATTTCCCAGTCTCTTCAGCTGTTGTCTTATTTTGTAGTAGGCTGTGATGGATTCTTCATTGGGGATCTCAAATGCATCCCTCTTAACCTCCAGTTCTCTTAGTTCTACAAAATAATTTCAGATTACGACACATGAAATCCTATGGTGGTAGCAGTACATGGTGACATTTAATTTGTTACTCAGTATTTTGTGACAGTATTCAGTGTTTTGTAGTTAAAGGTTATTTTGGTTTGCTAATAAATATAAAATCCAAGCCTTTAATTTAGTGAGCTTTTAACAGTACATGTTAAGGCATTAACTGTTCTGAAAGTTCACAACTGTGATATCTTATGACGTTGTAACACAACCTGTAGGTAACTGTGATCTGACTTGAAAGAGATTTATTTTTAAAGATAAAGTTCAGTGTTATCGAGGGTCTTTAAAATTATTGTGATATTCTGTAATCTAACTCCTTAGGATATGATGTAAAAAGTGTTGTATCATGAGCTAAGCTTTAAATACAAGTGCTTTCTAAGATGTAGGTGAAATATGGCCCAAGGGCTTAACCCCTGGCTGATGTGTCAGTTACATTCTGGAAAGTAAAGAATACATTGGAAAGAAGTTACTGAACCAAAATAAACTTCAATTATACTGTCCTCTCATCACCATTTATAAAAAATTAAAATCAAGAAGTCCACCATTCAAAAATCTTCAAAACAGTTGAACATACTTACTATCAATCATGCCTGGAACTGAAGCATAGTTTTGAAACTGGTAAAAAGATTTTTCCAACATAATCTCCGGATTAACTTCCTCAACACGTAGCAGATTCAGCACCATGTTATATGTCAGATGGAATGCACTGTTAAGAGGATCTGCTTGGCCCTGGGTCAGGACACAAAGAACATTAATGAAAGAACCTTCATCTCCCATTTCAGTATTTATGTTGTAGTTAATTTTTTTATCTCAGGTAATTTTTGTTTTTGTTTTGTTTTTGAGTATGGTAATGTACGCTAATGAAGGTGAAACAAAGGAAAAAAATAAATTACCAAAGATAAAAAATTAACTACAACATTTACATGGTTATTACAATCTCATTTTATTTTTGCAACTGTCTGATAAAAGATTTCAAGAGTATTGCAAGTGATTTTACTAAATAGCAGTCCGCTAGGAACATTTGTACCACTACACAGAATCATCACCTTTTTTCCCACACAAATTAGCTCAGTCATATCAAGATGTTCATGTCTACATAAGACATATTGAAAAAAGTGCTTATTACAGTTAAAAAGAAGTTCTTTTTTTTCCTGAAACTTAAATCTTGCTTCTGAAAACCTTTGATGATTAGCTTTAAAGGATTACAGATCAAGCTTAAAAGCAACGACTCATTCGAACCTTTGCCTGTTGACTGTATTCATGATTGGTACATTCAATAACACTAAAATGTAAACTACTATTCAGTCCCAAGACTTGACACATGATTCTTGTAGTGTGATTAAAAAATGGACAAAATCCTAAAAAAAGTTAAAAAGAACAACTTCAAATTCTCACATGATGTGAGATATGCACTTCACGACTTGTTGATCTGAGTATCTCAAAATTAATTTTGTTAACCGGCATGCTGTACGCATCTGATACCTTTAAGAGTCCTTTACCAACATCCGGTCCCATCTTCTCATCCACTATAAGGATAACAATCCCTCTATCATCAATACCACGTCTTCCTGCTCTGCCACTCATCTGAATGTATTCACCAGATGTTATCTACATGTAAAGAGCAAAACAAAAAAAATAGAGTAAGTCCAGATCCACCTTGCGGGAGAGAGGTTTAATCTTGTCTGAGGCAGGATACTTCAGGGTTGGCCTTAGGCCAAGATCTCTACAGCCAAACGCTGCAATAAAATGATTGCACCCAGTCATGGGTCACTCCTAAAAATTCTAAGCAATAGTTCACACAACTGGTCCTTTTAGGCATGTTAAGACCCAGAGCTGAGACAAGAGAGGCTGCTAGGAAACTCTCCCACAAGTCATTATAAAGACTTCACTGAAACCGGAAACTGCACATAAAAAGTCTCTTACAAGTACCCACCAATAATTTGGATATTAATTATTACGATAAAAACAACGACAGTGACCATACAAAATTGTTAAATCAATGGTACTAACAAATCTGAAATCTTTTCCATCAAACTTCCGAGCATTTGTAAACACAACAGTCCTTGCAGGCATGTTAAGACCCAGAGCAAATGTTTCTGTAGCAAACAAGGCCTGACAGAAGAAAAAAAAATAATAATCTTTTTGTTAGTAAAAAGCCTGAAATAATCATGTCATGACTTGTACATCGATTAACAACAACTGAAAATGTTTTTTTTCTTGGTCTGGAAATGGAAAGGTGTAGAACAGTAAGGATTTGTGTCTAAACAACAAATCAACAACAATTTTCTATCCATTCACTGCGATGATCACTTCTTCATCTTCATTTCATTTCCGCAGTTCATATATGATTTATTTCATATATCATTACCACTCATTTCTTTCACGGGAACATATGAACCCACCATTGACCTGCTCCCAACATCAGTGGCTTCATAGCTCAGTTAGTAGAGCATCGCCGGTAATTGCGAGGTCACGGGTTCAAACCCCATTAAAGTCCTGAATTTTTTTTTCAGGCTTCTTTACACAATTGCATAAATTGCGTTTACTGCGACGATCATTTCTTCATCTTCATTTCATTTCCGCTGGTCATATATGATTTATTTCATATATCATGAACATATGGTCTGTACTCTTATTGACCATAGAAGTGATGTCAACATGTTCAAAACTCAAGTGGAAACAAGAACCACAGGTGAGTAGTTTCACTGCAAAGTTTTGAACATTTTGATGTCATAAAAGTTAAACCATGGAAAATTGTTGTTGATTTGTTTTTTACAATAACATTTACAACTATGACATCCATTTCCATTGAAGTTTCTCAGAAAATTGTGCGCATGATAAAGAGAAAACAAATTAAGTAATTTTCATGATCTATATTATTATTGAACATGCCGTAAAATTCCGAAAATAAGCCCCTCCATGTATAAGCCCCTCTAAATATAAGCTCCCCAAACTGGTAATGCAAAAAACCCTCCGTTAAATCACCCCTCCAAATTTAATTAAATATAAGCCCCCTTGGGGCTTGTACTTGGAAAATTGCCCTCAAATACTAAGTAAAACAAAGCAAAAATGGTAAATTTACTTCCAACTATAAGGCTAGCCCAATCGATTTTGGGACGCAAATTTCCCTCCATAGATAAGCCCCTCCGAATATAAGCCCCTCAAAAAGGGCCTTTGAAAAATATAAGCCCCGGGGTTTATTTTCGGAATTTTACATAGCTCTCAACCAATCAGAATTATCTAAACTGAATTGAACTGTAAAACAGTTTATCTTTATTCAACCAATGGCATTGACCAGCGTCAGCTCTCTGAATGCAAGTAATGGATCATTGTCAGAGGTTATCACTATAAAGAATGCAAATCAATCTGACCAACCTTGATTAAACCTTCTGAAAAGAGAATTTCAATTGTCTCTTTTAAAATAGGCAGCAGCCCAGAATGATGGATACCAATGCCACGTTTCAACAGTGGCAGAACATGTTCCACCTAAAATTAATAAAATCGAATATTGCATTAGTTACTCATAAATGAATGTGGTTTCCGGTAAAATTCTACTTTGTTTGCTTCTTAAATCTTAAATCCACAGTAAGCCACCAAACATTGTATAAAACTTACTGAAAATAACAATAACATGTGCTTAATTCTCCAACTATGAGTTCTTTCTCTTTTTTGTGGGGGAGGGGAGGGAGTCAGATCCCACCAGACCCTCCCCCCGCCTATTTGTCAATAAAGGAAGTTCTAACTTTTAATCTGAATGAAATCCTAAAACAAGGCCACTTAAATAATTAGACCTCTTCAGCTATCTAATGACTTTCATGTATGCAGGTGGAAACATTCAGCTAAGTTAATATTATGGAAAATAATCCAATAATTCTAACCTGAGGAAGTGCTTTATCTTCATCTGACAAACAATCAATAGCATTGTTGAATACTTCCTCAACTAATTTCTTTTCTTGAGCTAAAAATATTCACAATGAGGAAAAAAGAATAAGATTTGAAGATGCCACAAATAAAATACCAATAAATTATTTAACACGTAAGCTAGCTGAGAGCCAATAATTAATATTACTTAAAAAAATTAATAAAACAACCCCTACATTTAGGCTCAAACCATTTAATTTCCACAAAAGCAAAACCATTGCCCCAGGTGCTTATCAAAGTAACTATAATTTGTTTACATCTATTCTTTCTTGATGGTTTCCTTCATTCTGACTCTCAACTTCTATATTCAATTTTAATAAAATCCAACTAGTGGTCTATATATTATCAATGCTGTGTTCTGATTGGTTGAGCTACTACTAGGCTATAAATTATGTTATAGCCCCCTAGTAGCGAAAAGCGCAGGCTTTTTGGCGGCAAAAAAGGATTAAAGTCCAGCTTTAACTAGCTAAATTTGTTTACTCTTGATATTTTTGACCAACTAGATGGATTTTACTAAAACAATTATTCCTCTCGCCCTCATGGCCTCTGAGTCAATAGCCCATTCGGCCTTCAGCCTCATGGGCTATTGACTCAGAGCCAATTCAGGCTCGAGGAATAATTGTTAAATATTCACTTTTTATATTCACTGGCCATGTTAAAAGGAGAAATGAGATGCTGATCTTTGATATTGGTTTCTGACCTGAATTAAAGTCCAGTTTTGACATCTGCAGAGCATAGGCTTCGGTAAGAAAGAACGACTTCGACTTATATTACTGTCCGACCAAATTCCTCTCCATAATCATTTTCACGATTCTGAAACAGTTTGAGGGACCTGCAATCAGATTTAACAGTTATGAAACAGGTGACTTCACATGACTACATGAAATTTACGATATGCCACTCTGTTAGTTCAACTCAATACAATGTTGTCCAGCAGCTATTTGTTTGGGATCAACTGGGGTGGTTAAACAGCTTCAAATGTGCCTTTGAATTGAGAATTTATGATTCCTCTTACTATTAAGGCCAGGCATCACACTGCTGGAAGGTAATTGACTCATTCTGACAAAATAGCAACAATAGTCAATGGAGGTTTATTTTAACTCTACATTCTTCATGCTTCTGAACGATTTGCTCCCTCCCAACCCTTTGGTAGATATACAGTACACATGTAAGTAGGTCAAGTTTCCACTGGTTTGGAGGGTGACAGTGCAGTGATTCAGTTACAAATAGTTATGGTGAGTCCTGAGACTCATCTTGTGAAAAATCGTGAGTCCCAGTCCATAACCAATGAGTCCCAGTTAAAAAAACAAGGAGTTCTAATAAAACTGAAAATGCTTGGGCCTTTATGTAACCAGATAGTTAATCTGGAGACAGACGCCAAAACTCTTTATTACAGTTCACTGAAAAAAGAATTAATCAAACGAACAGGATGTTATACCCAAAAAATTTTTAAAATCGATTCATCATTCTTTGCGGCCTATGGGACGCATGTCATGGATGACTTTGTGTCTTTGGAGATTTTTATGCGTCAGGGACGTAGGGTGAAGAGGAAACAAATTCACAGCAGTGCCTTAGTGGATTCCACTCTCAGGGTTATCATGGTTACACTCTACTATAGTTCTCAGCTCCAACAGCCTCTTTGCCACTTTACAGAGTCCTGTCCTTGCCAGTTGTGCTGACATGGAACCACCAATGTAAGACAAAAACTACAGGTACAACAGTGACAAAGCCCAGAATTTTCCCAAATCATGCACAAATCATAAACTGGATTAGTAATATTAATAACTGCATACCTTTAGTTCCTCCTTTCCGACCTCTTTGTGAACCTGGATCAGTGCCTCCTTCCCTTATTACAGCCATGGCTTTCTGAAAATTTTCTTCACGAAACTCTCCCTAAAAAGTAAAACAATAACTATTACAATGTAATATTACTATTAATAAATACAAAAAATGAACACTAAGGCACAGTTCAGGGCTGTAATTAAAGACTGTAACCTGTAACTCATGTTACAGCTCAGCTCACTTGATGTTACTTTATAAAAGTGGAAAGCAGAAGCTTACATGTGTAAGGTGACACTAAAAATTTCTGAAGATGTTATGGTTGAATCTTTATTTTCTATGGCTGCTACAAAAACTAATGACAGCCCTGCCCTTTATGGAGGTAAAGTACATGTGCTTGTCACATAGGCCAGATAATTTTTGCACCTTGCTGTTTGTCACCCCTGGTGAGGGTTTGAATCCCAGTGCTCAAACCTGCAATTTTCCAGGCTTTCTTTTCGCAACTGCAAAAGTTGTGTCTATAAGTCTAATAATATTTTGTGCATCTATTTGTTTGTCACCTACTTTCTCATCCTGAACAAGAAAGAGTCCTTCACCACCGGCAGGATAAATGTAATGCTGGAGCGGAGTTGGTCTAAAATCTGTATATACCACATGACATGGCTGCAAGACAATTTAAGAACACAATGAATTTAATAGAGACTTTGATAAGTTCTTCTGTGCTGTTACATTCAACTCCCTTTATAGTGGACACTGTTGGGACTTCGAGTTAGCGAGAGTCCGTAATAGCAGGAGTTTATTACGGTCAAACATCTGAAATTTATTTTTGCTTGAGATTTAGCTGATGTTCGTATTATCAGGTTGTCCATTATATTGGGGTGTCTGCAAGGCCAGAGTTAACTATATGAGGGTTATGACCTGCAGCCCCTCAGATTAAGGAGTATGCTGTAAAGTAGGATTTAGAACCCAGGAGCTGAGAATCAAGAGAAAAATTATCAGGCAAAGACAAACATACATTGTAAATTACTTTTTTGCTTTAATTCTAGAATAACTGTTAGAGCACTGGACTTTAAAATCAGGTAGCAACTTAGTTCAAGCCCCACCCTAACTGCTGACTGCTGACAGTATTTGTTCTGGATTTGTTCTGAGATAAACTATTCAACCAAGTTTTTAAATAACCAATGCAACTGGTTTGCCTTCAGCCATTTGGGATTCTTGCATTACTTTAGTTATGTTTTTTAATTACTGATTGTAATCATTTTGTTTCTGTCCTTATATGCACATGACTGTAAAGTTATTTGTGGATCCCTATGTACACTACTGGTAGTGTTGAAAATTGGTTGGGATTTCATAAGCAACCGTCAGAAATAATCAGATTGACCAACCTGAGCAAACAACAATTACAATAATTGGAAAAATCTCTTTATAAACATTAGACTAACTGCTAGGTCACTAGTACCAAAATTGTATTAACTCTACAAGGTCCTTCAGGTGTATTTATAATAAATTATGACTTACCTGTTTATGTAAATGTGAAATCCACTCAGCAAACTGTCTTGCATTTGGAATTGTTGCAGACAAGAAGACATAATGAACATTATCTGGTAACAAGATGATGGTTTCCTCCCAAACAACACCTCTCTCTGTCAAAAGAATCAATACACATGAATGTGACTTAAAACAAAATTCCTTACATTGGCTTAAATTTTATCCCCATCTAAAAGTTTTTTGAACCATTTGAATTTTTGTTTTTCTTTGTTTTAGGTTATGGTGTATTGTTCTCAAAAATATTACTAGTAAAACTACAGGAATAGAAAAAAAAAGTTGTTACATCTTCTGTTCACGCCCTTGACAAAAATGTGAAATTAGGCACTTTCACGTTGCACATGTAATTGTGCAGCAACAGCAAAGAAATGTACAAAAGAGCGTGATGAATATACAGACTTTGTTGTTTTGCCGATCAAAATCCATTGCTTTTTTTTATTCTGATTGCCGTTGCCATCACTATCATCATTGCATAAGCTCCCTAGTGATGACTAACCATGGTAGTAATTTGAGCCATAACAGAATATCTAAACTGTAGCAAAGCTAGTTAATAATTTTATCATATACATGTATGGCATTGCTTTGAAGAATTACCTTTATCTCTCATGTAGTGAATTTCATCGAAAACAACCCAAGCCACTTCTCTCATCAGCTACATGTACATGAAAAGGACACAAAAAAACAAAGTTAACAAAAACTTCTGCTAGTACTGTAGTTAGGTGATTAGCAATTAATGTAGCTAGAACTCTAGATAACCAGTCCATTCAAACCACTCAATTATGCTGCTTTCTTAAAGAGGAAACTTTTTCTACATAATAATTATACTAATTTTTCCACACGGTGCTACTTCCTACCTCAGAACCTCTGTACAGCATATTTCGCAAAATCTACAAACAAAGAATAAGAAGGAATTGGAAATTAGTTTCACAGCTTATTGGTACAAAGGCAAGAATCTTCTAAAAGTGTAAAGCAAAGGAAGAAAACAATTCAAGTAGGTGGATCAAAAGCTGCAGAGTACCTTTTACATGGCTCCGCCACAAGTAGGGTAGGTGCATTTTTACATTGGGAGGGGGTTTGACTTTGAATGGGGAATGTTCATTCTAAGAAAGCTGGAAAAAGCATGTTAGTGTGACCAAATGCATAGTGCATTTTAGAGACGAGGATGGTATTATGGCACCTTCATTTAACCACATTAAATTTGCTTTATTTTACAGGTCTAATTCATTATTACCCGTAATAAATTCTTTTCTGATAGTAGCCTGTACTTCTATGATGACTACAAGGAGTCGGTGACTTTTGCTTGTAGTCGCAGCTTCTGAAGAACACTTATGACAAAAAGAAGGTACATACCTCTGTTGTCATGACAAGAGCACTGGCACTAGGGTTTATAGTGACATCTCCTGTCATCAGACCAACATCTTGGAATTCTTCATACAACTCCCTGTATTTTTGGTTACTGAGGGCCTTTAAAAAGAATGTTGCAAACAGACTTTAAAAGGCAAAATATTTTGGTATTACTTATTTGATTTACATGAAAATACAGCTGTGCATTATTCAGTTGTACCATCTATAACATTGGAGTTTTTACTTTTTTTAGCTTTCTTGTGCCATCTCTCCATGTTATTAAAATTTTTATCCAGTTGAATCATTGTCAGGGCTGCTGACTAAGATGCAGAGGCCATGGATTTTCCCCAGCTTCTATGAGCACCAGATCCACACCTCGAGATCTTGAGGCAAGGGGGTGGGGAAAGTCTCCAAGAAATTTTTTTTCAGCCTTTTGGGCCTCAGTATGGTCTAAAAATAGGGGGAGGGGCAGGCCCCAGGCCCCTTTCCTGGATCTGCCACTGCAAAAGGACTTCCTGACCATTCAATCCCCCTCCTACTACTTGCATTAACCCAGCAACTTAATATTTTAGCAACAGCCCTCATTTTACATGTATGCCATGTGCTCACCTTTATAGGTGTGGTGTAGATTACTCTCTGCTTATTTTGAAGTGACATGGCAATTGCATACCTAATCACAATAACAGAAAGAAGAATCAATAGTCAGATTGCTAGGATCACCACCATTCAAAAGCATATACCCCTTCATTATGTAAGAAAAAACTACTGGTTATTCTCGTAGTGGAACACCTTACATTGTGTAATTTCCTATGGGAATTTTCTGGAAATGAGGTACTTCTCAGTAATTGTCTTTTTCTTGTTTTTATAGAGGAATAAACAAAAAATCACTGTAACATTTTGCTTCATCACACAAGTGACTTTTAGCAACTACGATGGCAAAACCAAGGAAACATTACTTGAAAAAACAACTTATGCTCTTTCTGCAAAATTGTTGTATTATGTTCAGTTTGCTTTTTGCAATGGAAACAGAGAAGAAGAAAAAGAATTATCCAATGAGTCGTCATGCTTTCAGGAAGTACAAGATTCTAAAACTGCCCACTTACATGTACATGTACCCAGCTACATAGCTGTAACTTCTTACATAAAGGAAAATATTAAGTTGGGGAGGGGTAGGTGAAAAGTTACATAAGTAGAATCTTATACTGATTCATGTTTTCTGTAAAATCTAGTTTGCAGAGAACAGTGCAATAATTATGCACATGCAAAAACATTGTTTCGCTACAAAAAAAATATTTGTTGTACATGGGGTTGAATTGAAAGGGGGTGGGGTGACAAGGAAGCACGGAGCAGTTGCTTACAAGAGAGGTACAGTAATAGCCTTGTTTTTTAATTTGCACGTATCAACCAAAGATTTCGAGCCTATGAAAAAAGTTTTTGAAAGTGATCTTACTCTGCTACCACTGTTTTTCCAGCTGATGTATGTGCAGACACCAAAACGGACTGATTGTTTTCCAAACATTTTAGTGACTCTTTCTGGAAAGGATCCAAGATGAATGGATATTCCTAAAAATAATAGAGACAGTCCAACAGGTTGAGACAACAATCTCTCAGCACTACTGTTTGAGACCACACCAGTTCCTGACAGCAGTGCACTTTTTCTTCAATGAATTGCAGTCAAGGATACGTTTTCTTCCAAACTGGTTGAAACCTTTATATTGCACTTCTTTTTCTTTTCATATAGAAAGAAACTACTGATAAAGCATTTTAGAAAAAAAAACTTCCCAAGTTGTATTGTTGTAGAAAATTTATTTTGTCCACTAAACTAACCAGTCTAAGGGCTAGGAAGAGTGCATATTTACTACAAGCCCAGCATGAAGTTGCACTGGTCCTGGGCTAGTGGACTAGCATTAGTGTTGAGCACTGACATATTGTACATTGTACGTATTCTGCTTCACATTGATTAACAAGGTTCTGGCAAAATGCATGGACTCTGGTGGAGGCAAAACCAGACCAGAGGTCTCTATCCAGATCGAGAGATACAAGTCAAGGAGAGCTCAGGCTCTGGAAATACCTTGTCTGGGCTTGCATGCTCTGCCGCTGATGGAATATTTACAGGATGACAAAACAATATTATTATTATTGACAAAAATCTGGTAATACGCAGTAGTCCATTAATTTGCTTGGGCCACTTGGCCTACGAACCGCAGACATTTCTCCTCGCTCATGGCTGCTGAGGGACATTTCACAAGGAGGAACGTCTGCGACTCAGCGGCAGAAATTCCATACTGATGACGTCAATCAATGTTAACATAATAAATCTGGTAGTCATGGGGTTCCAAATGCAAATTTGTTCAATTTTATGTTTCTCCTGGTCAATTTTGGTAAAGTGTTGTATTCATCTGCGAATGAGCTCCAGCAAAACTCAAATGCTTCTTCTAGAGAAGACTAGATTCCCAAATGTTGACTGTTTTGTTAGAGATTCGTCGTGTTTACATTTGACCTTTGCCGCTTTTTATCTTCTGTCTGTTATTCGTAAACAATAGCTTCAACAATGAAACTACTCCGTCAACATATTAGCGCTTCTGACCGAATTCCAGACAGATTTTGCATCATCAGTATGGAATTTCTGTTGCTGAGTCGCAGACGTTCCTCCTCAATAAACATCCCTCAGCAGCGATGAGCGAGGAGAAATGACTGCTGTTCGCAGGCTAGGGCCACTTGGCTCATTTTGCACCATAGGTGGTGGAGGTTCTATCACGCTGAACTACCGTACATGTAGCTTACCTTGGCTTGCTTTTTGGCTTTTTGCACCAAAGGAACATACTCACATCCTTCTGGAACTGCCACCTTACAAAATAATGGGACAAAAAATCATTAACAACAGCATCCGTGTTCTTGTTCTTGTTTCTTCCACGCAAACATCCCCTGATCCCGTCCCCATATCACTTAAGTACATACAGTCATGTGTATAGCAATTGCTTCATCCGAATTTTTTGGAATTTCAGTGACTTTAATTTTTGAAACAGCAAGCGGCAAGCTACTGGCAGAAACAATAAAGGACTGACAGGTTGATACCTCTGACTGTTGAACCTTTATTATTAGGCTTCCTGCCAAGCAGCCATCATATTATTCTTCATAATAATGACCAATAACTAGAGTCTCTGCAGTAAAACAATTTTATTTCAGTAAATCTATTCAATCACTGCAAAGTGATCAACTTCTATAGCGCAGCTACATGTAACTTTTGCAAAGCAGCCACTTGTCCCTTGTTACAATGTGTGAGAAGCAAATAACTTGAATTCAAAAATCTTGCCTAAAAGAAATTCTGTGCTCAGTCAACAGCGTTGTTACCAGACAGCGGCTTTGCTGCACTTTTTCGGGACATACCGCACTATAATTAGCCCAAGGGCTCCCAAGGGCTCACAAAGAAGGAAAAAAGACCTATTACAAAACGTACATAAACATACGTACATTTTCTTGTAATACAAGCAAAACTTTAATTGGTTTTGGCGTCTCTACTCTGACTTAGAGCGCGACAGGGCTGTAAAATGTTGAGTTAACTGTATGTAAAATTGGATATTAATTTTATTCTAGTATCTAAGAAAGTACAAAAGTGCTGATCTTCCAAAATTCTTGAAACTCACCTCATGAGTACAAGCCTCTATGGTTTCAACATTTATCACCTGTACACGAGGTATTGTCTCCAGCAAACTATGTATTAAAAAGAATTGAAAAGTTATGAATCAACTCACATAGTTTAGTCTCTCGAATCACAATATTAAATATTGTGAAAAAAACATTTATTTTGGGGGGAAGGGCATTTAATGGGCAAATCTGTCACTGTTGTCGAGCAATAATTATTGACACTTTTTATTTTCACCAAGAGAGGCACTGAGGTAAAATTACAAGTATGTTAAAAACTTCAAATGCATGGGGATGGCCTGGGGGGTTGCCTGGGAGGCGAGGCGGGGGGGTTAGGGCCGTGGGTTCGGCGGGTAGAAGGTTCAATCAGATCAGGGCTTAGTCATGCAGTATCTAGTCACCTCACCACCAAACCATCTCGGCACCAACAAAATTGCCATCAAGAATAGAACTTTGCTTAGGATTGTTTTGTACCATCATAAACGGAAATTTCTTAATGGATAACCGTTACTCTATTTTCATATTTCAAAGAAATGACTAGTGGTTGTAAAACGTTTCTGCCAGTTTTTTAATCTCTCAAATGTCAAAGTCTACATTCAAAGAACATTCAGAACATTCACAGCATTATAAGTTTTTGCATTATCAAGAGCATTCGACTCAAGGATCGTCAATTAGGAATGCTCGTGATTAAACAACTTGGACGATCGCGCAGATTTTGTTTCATCTCTCGTGCGATTACAGAACGAAATGTACCCAGCCGTACTGCCGTTACTAACTCTTTGACTGGTTAAGCATTGACATTACCGATATTTACGTAATTACTATTTGAAAAATTTGATCGTCAATGGCACCACAATTTTGTTTACAATCCCGGGGTTTACAATACACCTGTATCAATACACATTACGAGCAAAATATTACATTGCCTGGCGAATCAATATCATATCTTCCTAAAGATGACAATTATGAATTAAAAATATTCCAAGACTGTGCTGAAAATACACGATCTAAGCGAACCCATACCTTTCTAAGTCATCAACTTTCGCTTTCTTCGACGATTCCTCCAAAACCAGATCGATAACGTCTGGTTTGAAATCTCTTTTCTCACCAGTTTGAGGAGCATCTGTAGACGTGGACGGACCAGCTACGTTGTTCTTGTCTTTTTTCTTTCCTTTGGTATTTTCTGAGCTAGCATTATCTTCGAAAACAGAAAAGATATCATCACCACCAAAAGCGTCCGCCATGTTTTTACGTGTGCAAATTGGAAAGACCGCTGATCGTAAGCACTGGGGAGCCCTATGGTGTTACCCATAATGCTCTACTCGTTAATTAAAGGCTTTGCTTTTGGCAACGTGCAGGTGGACACAATACAACTCCCAACAAGATGTCGGGAGTTGTTAGCCAATAAAGTTGCGTCCAGGTTGCGTCCGTTTGCACGGGGCTAAAAGTTTGACCGGTTTCAAATTTGGCGCAACAACATGCAACAGGATGTGCAAACAGACGCAAACATCAAATTGTTGGTCAACAATTTTAATTTTCGTCCGTTTGCGCGTAGCTTTACTTTGGCTGCTTACCATTTAAAAAAATTTCCATAAATAACTGCAACACGACTTATCGGGTCGTTTTAGGGAAAAATTTTCGGGAGCAACGGAACCTTTGAAAAGGTATTCTTGTTTTCCCGCTCTGAAAGTTATCCAAGCAACCTTTCCTCTTCTTACAACTATGTTTGTTCTGTTTGTTATTTTTCCCCTCATCACATAAGCCAAGAGGTGTTGTTTTAAACCGAGGAGATATTTATCGTCTCTTAACTGCGGGAACTGTAAAAAAGCTCCTTATCCATCTGAAGAGGTGATTATTAACAGGAGAGGTTTGTATCTATTCTACCTTTCAAAATTTATCCAATGAAAGNTTTGGCTGCTTACCATTTAAAAAAATTTCCATAAATAACTGCAACACGACTTATCGGGTCGTTTTAGGGAAAAATTTTCGGGAGCAACGGAACCTTTGAAAAGGTATTCTTGTTTTCCCGCTCTGAAAGTTATCCAAGCAACCTTTCCTCTTCTTACAACTATGTTTGTTCTGTTTGTTATTTTTCCCCTCATCACATAAGCCAAGAGGTGTTGTTTTAAACCGAGGAGATATTTATCGTCTCTTAACTGCGGGAACTGTAAAAAAGCTCCTTATCCATCTGAAGAGGTGATTATTAACAGGAGAGGTTTGTATCTATTCTACCTTTCAAAATTTATCCAATGAAAGTATTAACAGTCAACTCTTTCTAAGACGGATACCTTTGGGACCGGCACTAAGTGTCTGCGAGTTAGAGAGGTGTCCGTCTTGTAGAGAGTCAAATAAAAGGAGTAAAAAAGGCAGGGACCAACTCTATGTGTCCGTTTTACAGAGGTGTCCGTCTTATAGAGGTGTCCGTTAAGAGAGAGTCGACTGTATATCTTTGAAATTTAAGTTCTCCTTGGCCGCTGAAAGAAATAATTATTTCAAGGTCCTTTCGCACTGAAAGAGAGGATCAAACGACTTGTTAAAGAAAAAGAGATTGGAAGAAGACATTTGGTTTTTTAAAGCGCCATTTCCAGCGTTGTCCCTGTAGAAATGTCATGAACATTATTACGCTAAGAGGTTCTAAATGGAGTTTTTTCTGTTAAGAGTTCAAGACTCCCATCATATTTTTCAGAGTATTAAAACACCTCTTAATTAGAAAAGTAACATTCAATGTTTCGTGCTAAATTTAACTACTCAATTTGAGTTAGCCTGAGAAAACAGCCGACATTTCACGACTCCAACACTAGTTTCTCCGCGAAATGACGTCTGAGAAACGAGCGCAAACTTTTTCACAGCCGTCCTACGGAAATTATTCGATATTAGATTCTCGTACAAACACTGTAATTTCTCACGCAATTGCCTACTCGTCAAGATAAACGAGCCGCACCGTCTTAGGGCCGAATCGCACTAGAGCCAGACAAATCAAAAATTGTTTATTTTATGTCAAAAATCTGTCAACGCTTGACTTGTCCTAATGCGACCAAAAAAATTTTGTTTATCCAGCTGAGATAGGGGACTAAAAGTCCCCTATCTATGATCATATTTCGCATCTAATACGATAGAGGCGTCAATTTTCGCGCCATCATGTCATCATTCTAGAGCGAGAAATTTAATTAAAAGCGCGGCATTCAACAAATATACAGCTCAGGTTTCGGCTAAAATTATTCAGTGCCGTCAAAGAACAAAACATATAATTAAGGTCTGCGTATAAAGTCGATCACATTGCTAACACAGACAAAAACGCTTAAATATCTCCTACAAAATGAACGGTTGAGTTTGTTTTTTCTACGGGTCAAACTGCTACTATATGTCCCAGAAGCGCTCAGGCATAATAATATGCCAGGAATTCTACCTGGATGAACCAGAAAGGATATAGAACAACTGCCTATTTTTTTTCTTTTTACGGCTACGGGTCGAAATG